GTTCCCTCATCCTCTGCAAAATGAAAAATGTAGTCATTCATTGCCTTACAGCACATTTAAGGTCTGGAAAAGATATTAGGTTCCCAAGTCTCATCTTTCAGGTTGGTACTCAGGTACATGCTCAAAGGTAATCACATTCTTAGGGCATACCAATACTAAGCACATGATTCAGACATCTCCTTAAAAGAGTCACTAGGTTTGAGCAAACCTGAGGCAGTTCAAATAGTCTCTTTTCCACCCAATTTGCCCTGCTTTGACGTGAATTATTAAGAAGAAATACTTGAACTAAAAAGGAGACTGGACATTTATTTAAGTGGCAGATATATTCCCAGCTATGATGGCCCATTGCTCTGATTAATAGCAGTGCAGCCAGAGAAGAGAACTGTGGGAAGTGTTCAGCAATCAAAGCCATCACTCCTGTCTGGTGTGATCTGACTGCAGTTTTTGGCAAGTGTGGGCATCAGTTTCCTGATTTCATTTTTTATAGAGCACAAGCAGAACAGAGGACCAACAGCTCAGTTCCTGAAGACCAGTGGCTCATTTTATCTGCATCTGCTGGATGCCTATCCCTCTGGAGCAATGCTCTGCAGACCTTACCAGGTTTGTGTAAGCAATATCAAAAAATCTTACCTAAAGTTATAAAATCAGGGCCAAGCCCACATCTTGCTGAGCACTCCCTTTTGACATTCACAGAAACTGAAGACATTTTGAATGCTGATTTGGTTTGCAAGGAGTGTAATGCTTTTTTAATACAGCTTCAATTTTCACCCTGAAAAAGACCCAAACATTAATCATCTTAAAATGTGTTCTTCTGCTGACTGAGAATAAACAAATAAATAGATCAGGTTGGACGAGGCCTTGGGTGATATGGTTTAGTGTGAGGTATCCCTGATCATGGCAGGGGGGTTGGAACTAGATGATCTAAAGGTCCTTTCCAACCCTAACTATTCTATGATTTGATTCTATGTTTCGATTCTATAATATCAGAATAGGCTAAAAAAACTAAACAACCCACCCACAACTCCCAAAACCCCAAACGGCTGCTATTCTGGTCCCGAAATATTTTCTTGTGATGCCATTCTTACACAACAATATCGTTTCATGCTGTATTATAGATGCATAGATAAAACATTGAGTATATATATATTATGCAATTAAACCAAAAGTTAATAAAGAATGCATATACATTGATGTTACCAAACAACAACTAAGTGAAATATTTCCTCTTTCCTTCTGAATTGTTTGACTTCCAGACAACATTTCTTTTTCTCCCTAATGAAAGAGTCCCCTATACAAAGTTTTGTGACAAGTTCAATGACACAGTAATTATTTCTTTCCTGTTTAGAAATATCTTGAGTAGCATGCAGTTGAATTTCAGGCTGCAAATGCCTCTTCGTTGTGCAACAGCTTTTTTCCACAGTGTTACGTTAAACTTATTAAAGGCTTTGTTTTCAATTTCATTTAAAATTGATTTCCTGAAGCTGAAAAACCCTGGAGTTTTCTCTTGGCCTTCCTTTTGTTACCACTTCCCATGTAATGATCCAGTAATGATTCACAATTTTGTGTTTCCAGCTTCAGACTTCTTTATGTAATTGCCTAATTTCTTATGAGAAAGGCAGATAAAGAAATACTTGAAGAGGCTCGTACGTAACTGACAAGGACCACAAAACTGCAGTTATTTTTAATTTATATCTAAACTGTTTTGTTGTACTAGCAGAAAGAATGTGTTTGTATAGTCTTTTAGTGCAGTTTGGGCCAGTCATCACCCAGTATCCAGCATGAACTTGCATAGACCTCAAGTTGTTTTTCTGCTTACTATTACTACAATGTATTGTATTCTTCTGGAGAACCTGCAATGGAGTAATAAATTGCATGACTTTGTGTACTCCCCCCTTTTTGATTTGACTCTAGCCAGTCTTACCAAGAAGGTCTTACAGATTACATGGTTTCTTGGCTTCACTGTGCAAGATGAGCCAGAGTTCACTCTTCTCCAGATTTCAGCCACTTTGGGGTTTCACTTGAGAGATGGGGTTTTAGTTTTTTTGTTTTGGTTGGGGTTTTTTGTTTGTTTGGGGGTTTTTTTGGTTTGTGGTTTGTTTTTTTTTTTATGCAGTCCTGAAAAATAGTTGAAGAAAAAAAGCTCTGAAAACATGAACTTGCAATACTTTTTCACCCCACCATCTAGCTCTGAGAGGTAATATGGGTTAGCTGATACACACTTCTCCCCGCACCATACTGCTAACACTATGAATGTTACAGCTGGTGGTGCTTATGCTAAGGCAGTTAATGAGGAAAGCCAATTGTAAAAATCAGAATAAAACCCTGCACTTGTCAACTGGGAAAAGACAAACATTAGAAAAGGTACAGGCAAAAAAAGGTATTCAAAAAAGGAGAATGAAACTATCATAGCTAGAAATATCCACAAATAGTATCATACACTGACCTTGTGCAATGATGCCTTGTTTACATGGTTTGTATTGTATTGTTAGTTACCTCCCAAATGAAGACAGGCTGAGAAAGTTGGGGCTGTTCAGCCTGGAGAAGAGAAGGCTGCGTGGAGACCTCATAGCAGCCTTCCAGTATCTGAAGGGGGGCTATAGGGATGCTGGGGAGGGACTCTTCATTAGGGACTGTAGTGATAGGACAAGGGGTAACGGGTTAAAACTTAAACAGGGGAAGTTTAGATTGGATATAAGGAAGAAGTTCTTTACTGTAAGGGTGGTGAGGCACTGGAATGGGTTGCCCAGGGAAGTTGTGAATGCTCCATCCCTGGCAGTGTTCAAGACCAGGTTGGACAGAGCCTTGGGTGAGATGGTTTAGTGTGAGGTGCCCCTGCCCATGGCAGGGGGGTTGGAACGAGATGATCTTAAGGTCCTTTCCAACCCTAACTATTCTATGATTTCCTGAACAAAGGCTGAAGTAAAGATTTATGAGAATATTGAAAAATAAGGTGAGGAGGTTGAGAGAGGAAAGACCACAAGTACAGAATGAGTTCTGTTGAGTTTAGCTGGGTGGCTACAGACCTCTCGGGTTTGTTCTTTGGCTAAAACTTCAGACCTTGTGAAAGGAATTAAATTTCAAAAAAACCCACCAACATTTTGGTCACAGCAGCTGGGTAAATCTGGATGAGGTATCACACAAGTGGTAAGACTTGGGATTTTAGATTCAGCCCAGTCTTTGCTTTGCAAACAGTGATAACCACACAAAAATGAAGGATGTACTGGAGAGAATGGTCCTACCTATTACCTACACACACCTTTGCAGAGGTGAAGTGATGTGCACCTTTTCCAGCAGAACCCAATGGGTTACATGGCTCTGGGAGCATCCCCTTTGCTTCCTCACAGAAAGAAGAGGTACTGGAGCTATGGTTAAAATCCACCCTAACACCACAGAGATAGGGTTTGTTCTCATACATGTAGTGCCATGCTATTTATTTATTTGATTAAAACTAATTCTCAAGCACTTGACATTCCTCTCTGAGAGTCACTGGTTTGGCAAAAGTTAAGTGAGAGATAAAAACCCAGAAGCTGTTCCCCTCCCAGAAGCTATTCTAATCTGGAAACAAAAGAGGATGCTGAGCAAGTTAAAACATATGAATTAATAGGTGCTAATGTGAATTAGTACATATACAGAGAAGAGCAGAATAAAAGGAGGGGTGATAAGCATGAATCACTCTAAGAAAGGAGTTTACACACACTCCTTAGTTTTCTACTTAATCCTAAATTACCAGTGTTTTGCAAATACAGGCATGCCTACCCATATAATGCAGGGGTCTGCTGAAGATCCCCAAGCCAGACATAAGAGCCAATTAGTATATCTACACAGTGCAATGCTGCACCACAGAGACAAAGCAGTTCAGGTCCCAGAAACAGCATCACCTTATAGGAACATCTTGCTTGGATACAGCAGTGGGCCCAGAGCCACAACACCTAAGCCAGAATTTACATCAGCTACCTTTACATGAAGCAGCACAGTATGGGATGGAGACCAGGTAATGGCTGTATGAAGAGCACAAACACAATACGTCTCAAAACATAGAAAAACATCATCACATTAGGCCACCTTGATGTTTCCAAAGCTGATTTACAAAGCAAAGCTCTTGGAGATCACATTTGTAATATCTGGATGGACTATTTTGTGCTGGCTCACAGCTTGAGATCGTCTCAAATGCTACCCTAGGGAATAGTAACCCCATGGAAGATGTGCTACTGGTCAACAGTTGGACCTTAGATTCACATTTGTCTTACAAAAAACGTACAGCAGAAGCAAATTCAGAGTGTGTGGTTACAAATGGGCAGTGAGAGAGTATATAACACTGTAGATGTCAACAAAAGTCCAGATCAGACTAACTCCAAACATGCTGCCTCCCAGCCCAACAGCTTCACCATTCACCAGGACCGCACCAGTAACAGTCACCAAATGCAAGTGAGGAGACCACAGACTCAGCAGAGCCAGTACCTGCCTTTCTGTTCAGTAACAGTTTCTACTGCTCTCCTTGGGAATGTGGCAGAAGGAGGCTCAGGTAACATCAGGAGTTTCTGCCATGCTGTCCAGTAGTTCGGTCCCTGTGTATCTCATGAATAGCCTTGGCTTTAGTGTATGGTACTGAGTGAAGACACCGGCATGTGCCTCCCCAAAGGAGGGTCCCTGGGGCTGATCATACTGCAGCCTTCAGGAATCCCTAAAGGACACGAAGTCCCTGAGAAAAAGGAACAGAGCTCACAGCCTTTTCCACTTAAAAATAAATCAGTTAAATCAGAGGAAGTGGGGCAGGTGGCTCGTTTCCCAAGCACGGCTGATTGCAGGGCGAGCCCAAGCACTGATTCACCAGCAGACCCAGGCCATTGTCCCAGCCCGCCTGCGCACAGGAAGGAGTTTCTGGTCCCAGCATCCCGCCAGCCACCGCCCCAGCACATTATTGCACCCTGTTATGGAGCAAGGCACCCAAAACCTCGGCAGGACTTACAGATGAAAGCACAAAGCCAAGATTTTTCCCCACCTTGTTTTCCTCTCCTGATGTTTGACCACCTGCCTGCTACACTAGAAAAGCATTGTGTGCTGCTACTTTAAATAGGCTCCAAATACACACAGGAAGCAAAATATAAATAATTGTAACGTGCACTTAGTACTCATGAGAAATCATTGATATTTTCCTCTTCTGTGGTTCTGGTTAAAAGAGCAAGCATCAAATCAGGCAGACAGACCACTTCACATCCCTGGAATGTGCTCATCTAGAAAGCCATGCCAGGGGACACTGTGAGCAGGAAAGCAGTGATTTACAAGTAAATCCCTCCTCCCAGACTGAGAAACATTTTATGACCTTGTAGGTGTTTCTTCAAAAGACCTTTCCCCTTCCATCAGTCTTGCTCTCCCTGTTCTCTGTGGCAGAGGCTAATGAATTGGGATGACAACATGGGTTGATGAGACTGAACCTCCCAGCCTGGCTTGCCTCTCCGTTTGACACTGCGATGAAACTACTGCCCCACTTCTGGCATCCCAATATGAGGCCAAGGAACAATCTGCATTGCCGTAAATCCAGGCTTTCCCAGCAAGATCAAGGAGGGCAGCTGCAGGAGGCCTCTATGGAGGCAGGGGAAGCTGTAACAAATGTGAAAATTAACAGGATTCATGTTTATATTTGGTATGTCTACACATATGGGCACAGGCATCCCACCAGATGTGAACTGCTTGCAGATGGGAAGTCCCCTTTTACTTGCATCACTGAGTCGGAGTTAAGCTGCCACAGCTCCCAGCCTGGGCTGCTTCACATCCAGATGGAGGTGAAAAAGCAAGTGTTTGCACCTGTTCTTGTGGACATATAGCCAGAGATTTTGTTGACCGTGTCAAAAATGAAGCCTCTAACGTGGATTCAATGAAAAATATGACGGGCAAAACTCTGCCCCCACATGCTTGTAGGACTCAGTAGAATGAGATGTGTTCATCCTGTCAGTTCAGGACAGGATCACACGTCGTTTTCTAGTAGCTGGTCTAAATGTGGGATCAGCACTTCTTGCTCTTGCCTAATAGCATTACCTCCCCTGCCTGGAAAAGGCTCATCCTTGTGTACTGAGCACCATGCACCAAAACATCAGGGGAATGCTCGCTCAGATGCACTATTACTCCTTCTTTGGAGGGAAGCCATCGGTAGCAGTTTAACCGCTTTTTTACCACAGACCAAACAGTTTCCAAATGAGCCCTCCAGTGAAAAAGTGACATTTGTCAAATTGGTTCATAAACTGAGAAGAAAGATTGCAATTCCCCTTAGCTTTCTGGTACTCAATGTAACTATGCCAATTAAAGACACCAGCAGAATAGGGTTCCTTTTCAACTCTTTCTGGCTGACAACTGAGACTAGAATAATTTAAGCAACTACTCAAAGCTTGGAGCTTATGAGTGAAAACTGAGCACACTAGAACAGAAAAAATGTGGGTTTCCCCTTACTGTTTTTTCATAATATTCCCCAGAAAAATTCCTAAACTGATGACGGCACAATCTACTTTTTTAGTTATGGCCTTACATTTACTATCTGCTGTAAATGCAAAAGGGGAGGGAAAGGTTCAGATTTGTTTAATAGCCGTCAAAATTAAATACATCACTGGGCAGCCACATGCAGAAACAGTCCCAGGCGTTCATCAGTTTCTCTCTTGTGGAGGATTAATAATCTCTCATATAGGAGTTACTGTCTTTTTAGCTCTGTCTTATTAAGAAAAAAAGAAACATTGAACTTCTGTACTGTGTGCTTTGACAGCTCGGGCAGTGTGCAGAGCTTTTTATCTGGTTTTAAATAGTGGATATTCACCCTACATTCAGGGAAGAAATAATAAATCCTTACCTGGAAATCACCTTCTCTGCAATTACCTGATAAGATGTCAAATGAAGCAAGGCTTCATTACCTCTTTGAAGAAGATTTTCATGTGAAAATAGCTCTCCTCACAGGGGGTTGCCAACTTTGTTATTGATGGCTATTTCCTCACATTCTTTTCTTTTGACTGTTGCACAATTACTACTCCAGTGGAGCAAGTCTTGCCCAAGGGAGAAGAGCTGCTGGATAAAAGGAGGTGGCTGGGACAGCAGTGGTGTGCAGTCAGGCTATCCGTTACCCACCAGGTCTACCCAAGAACAATAACAGGAGAACTCGCAGAGTGCAATCAAGTGCATTCTTCTCCAGGGTGATTAAAGAAATATTCAATTTGATGCAACTGAGGTACAAAAGCTTTCTGTATCCTTCTTCTGCCAAGCATGGAAGAATGCCAGCTTTAAATTATTTACAAGAACTCTTGTATGCCAAAGGCATATCATTTACTTGGAATCCAGGCAGCTTCATGCAATCACTGCTTACGCATAACTACAAAAGTAAGCGGAGGGAGAGAATCTAAATGGAGTCAGCTTATCAGACATCAAGTTTATTCTACTTCTCCCAGAAAAAACACCTATGGATGTTTGCTAGGAATCTCTTTTTCTCTACTAATATGACAGATCTGAAAAGTAATAACAGTAATAAAGTCTTAATTCTGACTTTGTATCTGCACCCATTTTAAAATCTGCAAATATGATAAAATCCATATAAAGGCACTTGTAACTAAACAAGACAAGGTAAAAGTAGCAATAGTTAAGAAATTCAAGCAAGTTGTGTGTTTGCTTTCCTTTACTTGCTTCTCTCAGGCTTCTGCTCCCCAAAATCTCTAGCAATGGTATAAATCACATCTCTCTTCAAAGCATTGCTAAACATCCAAGAGGAGAAAATAATATTGCATATCACTTAACATCAGCTGTGCCCTAACATATTCAAAATCAATTATGTTTCACATCATGCAGTCTCAACTTTTAGCAGTTATTTGTGGTGCTAATTTGAGTTGCCCTAGATAATTAGAGGATCTGTATCTCCACCATTATAACAAAAATTACTTTTGTCGGACTTGCACAGAGGTAATAACGGCATTACAATCACAATGATTTTAATAAAGGCCAGATTGTGTCTAGCTCTAATACTCCAAATCTTTAATGACTTTATCCCACAATATCCACAGAAGATAATTAAGCACCTTTATCCCCATTTTCTATCAGTGCGGAACTGAAGTTCAGCAGTGACACAGTTTAGACGCTCCAAGACATAAGCATCCTGCTTACCTCTACTTTTGACACAAATACTGGGATGATAAAAACAGAACAACATGGATGGGGACACAGAAAAGAGCTCAGACTCCTCCTGGAGGCCTGGGCTCCTGACACCATTATATCTGCAAGCTGGCCTCTCTCTTAATGGACTACAATGTTTCTAGAGCCAACCTAGCTTTATCAGGGAAGATTCACAGATACAAACCTTAAGTAAGCTGTAAAACATGGCGATGGGGAAAAATAAAGAGACTACTGGAGACTGGCCTGCAGCAAGGGAAGGAAGTTGCCTGAGGAGGGTTATTGTTTCAGAATTGTTTGATGAAATAATAAACAAAATACTGCACTAGTAATTTCTGTAGATCCATGATGCCTTGCAACGCAGAGGAGTACGAGTACTCCCTGCCCAGAAAGGACTTCCTGCATAGTTTCAATCTGAAGAAACATGCACTCATTTATCAATGACAAAAAGTTAGAAGGCAATTTCTTAACCTTAGTGCTTTCTCTTGAGCAGAAATCATCCCATCAACATTTAAGATGTGTAAGGGAGACTCAAATGATTTTAACACTCAGGCTTCTTTAAACTGAATTGAAACTGCTCTGAACCAATATTGCAAAGGACAAAGTTCAAGGCTTTATTCATATAATACAAGGATGTAATGCAATAACCGTCTGTTTGAGACACGTAAGTAACAGATCAGGGACAAAGCTGCAGACAGGATGTCAGCAGTACACACAGGGAATTAGCCATGCAACTCCTTCACATTAATTACAGATACGCACATCCGAATCACCATGCAGCATGAGGAAAATGTACCAAGCAATAACTGTGATTCATACTTTACCATTAACAATGCAGCAAAAGGTTAAAGGGGATGGCGCTCTTCCGGCACCATTAGACAACCACAGTTGCGTGTTCTTCCTATGTCCAATCTGAAATGAAACATCAGCCATGGAACAACATGGTAGGAAGTAATTCTTATAACATCCTGAAAGTGCCTTTTTTTATAAAGTTGCTATATAAAAATAAGTATTCTCATATGAATTGTCAGGCACCAATATAGTATTTTTCTACAGAACTCTAACAAAAAGCAAATATTGTTATACCTTGCAAGATCCTGTTATACCTTGAAAGATACAAAAGCACATTCTGTATCATATCTGTCAGAGACAAAGAGCTATTTATATGATCAGAAAGACCTTGAAAAGTTCAATTTCTAAATCTTGTCTTTGTGCATAGTAGGTTATTGGCATGGGGCATAATCTGCAACTCTACTCTCAGTCAAGTATGTCTTGGAGCTCACCATACATGTTTTGGGTAGACAAGTACATCTTAGTTTTGTGCCAAACATTCTTTTTCTATGTTTTTGTCCAAAAAAATAAACATTGTTTCAGCAACAATAATGCAGAAAAAAGAAAAAATTTTCACTTCCCTTATATATCAAAAAATACATAGAGAGGGAAAATTACTCATCCAGACTGATTGCACACTTAAATATTTTTGTGCAATTGTTGTTGACATCAGCAGGGCTGGTTTGCACACCAAAGGCTGAACTTGAACACTGAAAACCCAAGCAACTGGATTCAGTCAGAGAACAAAGAGCTATTTCCAAGAGTCAACAACTCTTGCAAAGCTCCTTATGTGTATGAGGTCTGCATGATACTGGTTCTCTCAAAGCGAGATGTTCGTGAAGTAACAAAAATAATCATTCAAAGCATCAAAAAGGAGCACACATATTTGAAATTACACACATATGATTGAAATGTCACTGACAACATAGAAATGTAATTGGTTTGGTTGGGTCTGCTGTAAGTGCTGTATTTTCTTTTTTGACTTGCCAGTTTTGTGCAAGACTGTCAGAAAGACAAAAATACATCTTATTGTGACAGAACGCACCTAAGGCATTACTGCATTATTCTAAGAGCTTCTTGACATTTGGCTTTGTCCTCATGACATCTGTAGCTAATACAAAATTGAAGCCCTTATCAAGGGCTTTAAGGTAAAGTTTACCAGTATTAACTGCAAGGCAGCCTTTCTCAAATGTTTTCCATACACTTTCTGTACTAGATTTGGAAAATGAAGCTCTTCGTGTAGTTTCTAACTAATGGAAAAGATCCATCAAAGCTCTTCTGGTAACCAGGTGTACCATGTTTTTCCAGGAGTAGCGCTCCACTGGCAGAGAACAATGACTGATGTTCTTTACCTCAAATGAACTGGACCCTGTAGGCTAGGAGAAAAGTGAGCCAAGAATCTGCTCTTCAGCTGAGTTGTTTTACAGGTGAAATCTCCAATTATGGCTCATGTTCAGCCATGGAGGCTTGAAGGAGGCCGTGCTTGGAATAAGAACTCTATTTTTTTCTGCAGAAGGATACAGGTCAAATACACACTTTGTAGGCTTTGCCCAACTTGCAGCACAAGAGGGTCCTTCTCTCATACAGGTCCCATCTCTCTATATCCAAAAGTGCTACAGCTACCTCTTGCCAGTACTGATGATTCACAGCTAGTGATGATGGAAATGAGGGAAAGCTTTCTGCTCCCTTTTCTTGCCCTCATAACCAAAAACCAGAAAACAGTAAGGGTGTCATTCACTCATGTTTCTATAGCATAGTATTTGATAAATAAATCTCAGTATATAAATTCAGATAAAATACTTTTTAAAAATGACTCTTGGAATTAAACACAAAGCTGATATCTTCGGAATTGAAAGATGCTGGTTTACCTTTTATGCTTTATCAGTTTTTGCTAAGCTGACAACACATCTCCAAGTTACCAAATGAACTATAAAGTTTTTGGTCACTGCTACTATTTCATTAGATTCACCTCAATGCAGCTTTGAGATGTAAAGGCCTTAAATTATGTCACAGAAGTTGATTAACACAAAAGTTGTAAAACTTCTGTGTTAAGAATAGTCATCATTTTAAACTACAGCTCAGCTCCTCAGGGTGGGAACATGTTCAGCTTACTGAGTTTTTGGAATCTGAAGATGCAGAGTGTGCAGTAGAAGCTGACTAGCACCCAATAAGATTTGTCCCTTAACTTCTGTGGTCTTCTGTCTCAGCTTGCTTGAGACAGTCTCTTGAACACTAGTTCTACCCTTAAGTTACTATCTTTTACTCTCTGCTCATGTGGACTGAAGTTCTACAGTATAAAATGCTTTTGATTTAGTCTCTGCTGAGAATTAAGCAGCTTTTTGTAGAGGTAAAACTCGTAACTACAAACCATTCTTTAGGCAGCTTTTCCAGACCTCTGGAGCTCCAGGCTGCCCTGAGTCCTGCAATGCACTAACTCATGCTCAAGAAAAGTGCCCTACAGAGTAGATCAACATAAAAGGTGAAGCCTTTCTAAAAGAGAACACACTGCTCTAAGTTTGGTTCCTCTAAATAAAATAGGGAGGTAAAGCACAGGTTTGTGACCATGCTTTGGAAGGCATTTCAGCCAGTTTTCCATCTGTAAATGTGAGCCATCACACAGATTTTAAACAAGCAAGTTTAATGAGCTTGGTGACATTGCTACACATGTAAATGATGCCTCAAGAGGCAAAAAATTAAACGTAATGGCTGGTTTGGGATTGGCGGACTTGCTGTGAGCCTGTGCTTAAGCAAAAAAAGGGAGATGAGAAGAAAGTGAATGCATGGAAACACACAGCCTCGAAGAGAAGGAGTTATAAAAGGAAAAAGCAAAGTGAAAGGTTCTTTAATCATTGCTTAACACTAAAATAGCCAGACTTTTCACATATGACAGATTTAAACACAACATGGACAGAGAAAATCATTATTGCAGCTCCACAGAGTGAAACCCAGTCCCAAAATACAACTTGCCTAAGAAGTGGGAAACCTCAGTGACTGGACATTCCCTAACCCAATGCCCATCTTGTGCATTTTGATGTTTCCCAGTGTAGGACTTCTGCCTACGTGATGGCAAGCACAAAGATCCTTGTGTTTGCTTTGGGCCTCTGGCTACTATTGTAATAGACAATAACAAATATTGCTCACATTCCTTCAGCAGTACACAGCAAATCTAAAATGAACTGCAACAATCTGGACTGAAGGCTCAACAATTACCCCATCCCCCTTGAACAGCCATTACAAAGGAAGAAACAGAAGTGAGAGCAGAAGGCAATGACAGAAGGAAGAAGGGAACAGACCATGTCACATGGACCAATCTCCACAGGAAGCCTGCTGTTGCCCCCAGGCTGAAACAGAAGGGAGGTCATAAGAAACAACCAACAAAGAACACAAATCAGACCGCATTGAGAAGCTCATTCCTGGAGAATATGGACAGATGCAGTAAAATTAAGTAGAAAGTAAGTGACACCTTTTTTTCTACACAAGAAAATAGACACATCTTGCTTAAATGAACACATCAGCTGAACTTCTGTTTTTGTTACAATAGGAAATCTAATTGAATGCAATGTGCAAATAATACAAGAGTTTATTGGCAGGGAGGAGAAAAAGCCTCTGCATTCTACGGGTATTTTATCACTGCCTGCTTTTGAATTGCAGACCAGTGACCTCAAGGGTATTTAGAGCAAGACCATTGTAAGAAGCATTCATGTTATCCAATGCCTTAGAAGAACAGGGAAAACTCTTTCTGAAATGTCTCTAAGGAAGCTGCTGCAAGCAGGCACACAGCTGCTTGGAGGCCATCAGAAATGGGAGTAACATGTCCATGCTGAGACATTGAGAGATCATAGCCAGATACCCCAAAGCTGCATTTGCATTCTTCAGCTTCTAAGTGACAGATGTGGAGAAGAAGCTTTTACTTGGAAGTATGGGATGTGCAATTGTACTCTCCTGGAGTAACCATTTATGAAACAAAGATTCTGCTCTTAATAAGGGCAAAATCCAGTTCTTTCTGAAACCAGATTCATAAATCCTATAGACTTTTCTTCAATTTCAGCAAGTAACACAACCCTACAGCATGAAAATCAGAGCTGCGTGGATATGGCGCATGAAGGGAGGAGAGCTGTTTTGAGTGTTGCCATTCTCTGAAGGACATGCTGATCTTTCTAGAACTGGAGTTTTTTTGAAGTTGTGCTAATTTAGACTTTTCTCGTTCCTGTTCCCAGCTCCTCTGAAACCTATTTAGCCATGATTTTGGTTAGAGCAATTATAGGTACTAGAATGTTGCTCTTTCTCCTAAGGATGGGAGATCATCCCAGCTTTCTTCCACACAACCCGATTTTGCCCCTCCCCTTCCAACTTCTCACCTTCCCACATCCCTTTTTTGCTTGCATATGTATCCATCCCTTGGCCAATCAACCAAACTCCAAATTTAGTCTGACTTGAACAAACACAACATGTACTAGAGCATCTACAAGGCTTTTGTGCATGTACTATATAAAAATCAAAAAACTATTGCTCCTTCATGCTGTAGTCATGTCAGAGGTTACAATTTCATCTGGATCTGTCCTTGGACCACTCATTTCTATACAACCCTGCTCCCTGTGAAGCAAAGATACGTATCAGGTTTGAGAAGAACATGGGTGCCAGTAAGGCCATTCAAAGCCTTGCAGACATCTCTGACCTTCCCTTGGGAAGACAGCCTCTGCTCACACAAAGCTTGGGGAGATGCAGAGCCATCGCTGTGCAGAAGCCAGCCAGGTTAGCTGTGACAGGGAGCAGCCACCACTGACGGGCAGCTCAGTGGCCTAATGAGGCGGTCGGCTCATTCCTGGGTGTCTGACCGTCACTGCAATTGGAAGTAATTGAAGGTCTTTTCACCAGGCTCAGCAGGGAAAAGCAAGGAGCAAAAGGGCACGGGGCTTGGCCAAGGTCCCATTGGAGTTGGGGCATGCTGGTGGCAGGGTGTGGAGGTTTGCAATGCCAAGGCTACCCCTCCAAGGCATGGTGCGAGCCCTGCCGCTGCCTATCAGCCATAACTACTAAGAGCCATTAAAATAAACCCCAGTAAAAGTGTCGTTGACATCCCA